ATAATTAAAGATAAACTTTATTACTTTTTGAGAAGACAAACTAGTGATTTAAAAATAATATAATTGGTTCTTAAATGTTAAGCTTAACATTAACAGTTGCGGGGGTATAACGAAAAGTACCGACATCAAAGCTAATAGTAATGAAGTTCAATCTATTCAGGTTTTTGTTGATGGTTATAAGAGAAGATGAAATTAATGAGAAATTCTACAATGAGATAGAAATTTCAACTGTTAAGGAGATTATAATTATGGAAGATTTTGATTTTTAGACATATAAATTGAGAAATGTTAAAGTCATGAGGGAATGAGTTTTTAGAAACTGTTCAGGATTATTTTCTTAAACAATTGGTTAGAAAACTTACAGAGAAGAGCATGCTATTTCAGATTTACTGTTAACTTCTAATAAAGAAATAGTTGTTAGGGTAGAGACTGAGGAACATATGGGTTCAACTGATCATTGCTCAAATAGATTTGGTGCTTAGCTGGCTATGGAAATAAGGAATATTAAGATTTTGGTTCCAAATTAAAAAAAAACAAACTTTGAAGAGATGAGACAAGAATTATCTGTTGTGAATTGGGCAACTGAATTAGTCGGATATCCTGATCAAATGTGGAAAAATTAAAAATAAATTTTTGAATATTTAAGATAGGCAAATTCCTTATAGACTAAAAAAGCAGGTTGATTCACAAAGGGTACAAAGAATAAATTAAAGAAAAGCATTAAAATATAAGAAGTTTAAATGGACTGCAATGATGGAACACTTGGAGAGTTATAGAAGATAAAGTATAGAAAAGAAAAAGGTTGGTTGAAAATGTGAAAAAAATACTAGTAAGGATTTCTCCAAATACTTTAAGAGTAAGCAAAATGGGAGTAGAGCCTTTGAGTGATGATACAAGAATGCTAATATCTGACGATTATGAAATGACTAGCTTATTAAATTCTACTTTTTTCTTCAGTTTTTACTAATGAAGATTTAACCAATTTTCCTCAGTTTTCAATTGCTAGATGGAAACAAGGTTAAACATGATAATCACATTAATTCTGAGATTGTTAAGAAAAAATTGAAAAAGTTTAAAGAATGATGAAGCACCTGGGCCAGATATTATTTCCCAAGAGTTTCAAAAGAGGTTAAGGATTGGATATATGGGCCACTTGCCATTATTCTAAGTCCTTGAATAGCGGACAGGTGCTAGAAGATTGAAAGTTGGCTAATGTTACTCCTCATTGTACAAGTAATTATAGGCCTATTACTTTTATATCAGTGGTGGGAAAAGTTTTTCAAATTTTGATAAAAGGTGCTTTGGAAAGTCATTGAACAAAGTTTAAACTTTTTTTGGATAGTCAGCATGGTTTCACCAGGGAAAAATCTTGTATTACTAATCTTTTAACATTTTTTGAATTGGTTACTGTTTATGTGGATATGGTATATCTGGATCTTAAGAAAGCATTTGACAAAGTACCATGTAAAAGGCTTGTTAAAAAAGTTATGGGGAATAGGTTTGCTCATTGGATAGAAAACTGGCTAGATGAAAGAAAGCAGAGGGTTGTTATAAATGGAGTTCAGTCACACTGGATTAATGTTATGAGTGGGATATCTTAAGGCTCAGTCTTAGGACCTTTGCTCTTTTTGATTAACATCAATGATATAAATGAAAGAATGGTCAATAGATAATTTAAGTTTGTTGATAATGTTAAATTTTGGGTGTTGCTGGCTGTGAGGAAGATGGTACTGCCATACAAAAGATTTGGAGTATTTGGTGAGTTGGGTGAATAAATGGCAGTTGGTTGTTAATTATAATAAATGCAATGTAATGCATATGGAATATCACATTTTGAATTATAAATATAATTTTGAGGAGAATAATCTTAGAAGTGTTATGAAAGAAAGAGATCAAAATCATGAAGCAGTAGCCAAGATTATGAATCACATCCTGTCTATTTTGAAACAAGTATCTTCCTCTGTTTGCATTTCTCCAGTGATTTAATGCAACACTGAAGTCAAACTTTCAATTGGGCCACCTTCTAGTTTGATCATCAGAAGATCATCCACTCGCTCAGATGACAATATATTTCTAGCTGCTGCCTTAACTTGATTCTATGCACTAAATTCACAGTCAGCAGTGTGGATGGGAGCAGTTAAAGCCAGCAGTGCTAAAATATGCAAATTAGGAAACTGCTTTTTGTGATACTGGTTGATCAGTCCCCATAAATTACCCGTATTATCTCTTGGGTAGCCAGCTTTTACTTCTAAAGGTTTTACCAAAAACCGTTCTTGCCTTGTGGCTTCAGCATCAATGATTGGTTCTACTGTCACAATACTATTAGCAGTCTTTTTGGCAGGTTTAGACATCTTAGACTTTCCATGTTGACTGATTAATGATTCAAGCTGCTCATTACCCTATGTCTGCAGGTCCTTCTGAGAACAGAATGATATTGGTCTCATTGCAAAGTACACCAAAGGCATACATGATATTACTGTGATCATTTGGAAATCTTTAATCAATTTTCTCCAAGATGGCATCAACAAATTTCTCTCCGATAGAGTCAGTATTTTGTTTACCTTGCAAAATGTGGTTCCCTTTAGATGTAAGTTTTCTCTTTTCACCAGTAGTCAGATGATCATTGTGTAGCTGATGGAAGTAGTACTCCACTTTGTGGTTCCCTTTAGATGTAAGTTTTCTCTTTTCACCAGTAGTCAGATGATCATTGTGTAGCTGATGGAAGTAGTACTCCACTTCACCACATTTTATTGTATTTAAAGCAGTTTTACATTTCTCCACTGAAACTTGAATTAAGCTAACATCCAGGTCAGATTTTTAAAATACCAGATATAACTGATACAACTGGTAAAATATCCATTATCTTATTGCTATGAGACTTTTTTTGCCAAAAACTTTGGATTTGGCATCCTTGTTGGTTGTGAAAAAAGTTAATAAGAGAGTCTAAACACTTATACACAGTTTGCACAGCCACACAGACAGACAACAACCTCACTTCATGGACTTCTTTAATTTTCAGTGTTAGCTCACTAAGCAAATTTTGAATATCTGCAAGTCTTGTAGTACGATTGGATGATGCTTTGAAAAGAAATAGGTTATACCAGTCAGCATACTTTGGTATTCAAATAAGTAGGGAACTTCATCTATTGTTTGGGATGTCACTAAAGCTAAGTGACACAATGGTAGTTCAAGATCATTGGGTTTGTCTGAGCATGTACCTAGTGACATCTTCACCTGTCCCTATCATAACTTTGGCTCCATCAGTACCAAGCCACATTTCTTTGAAGGGAGAAAGCTGCTTTGCATTCATAACACCTGAAAGTTCTTCATGAAATGCTTTATCTTTTGCATTGTGAACCTCTCAATTGCACAAAAAGTTAGTTGAGGGCTTCAGTGACTCTGGGTCCAAAATCCTTTTGTACATAACCAACTTTTTAATTCCAATATCAGTGCTCTCATCAGATAAAATGCTCACATATGTAGATCTCAACAGTTTATTATCAAATTCTTTATGAATGACTATAGCAATTGACTCAAGCCTTTCACATGCAGACTTATCTGAACAGTATGTTACTTTTTTCCCCATTTTCAGGCAGGCCTAACACTTGCAGACAACTGAGTTCCTCAAATAACGTTAGGAGATTCATATTTGGTAATAACAATATCCTCTTTTGCTAACCAGAACACAACTTTAAGTGCAAGTAAAATACTATTCTCTTTTTCTTAAGTCACATTTTGTACAACTTTCTGAAATTCAGGAATCATAGACTTGGCCAGTACTGCAGTCTTTTGGTCATTACTGTCAACATGATGCATTAATGTGCTAGTTCTAATTTTTCATACAAATTTTGTATGTCATGATTTTTTTATCTCAATCGTAATGTAGCAATTTAAAATCTTTCAGCCAACCAACTTGAAAAATTACACATGGACTTTACAGAAAATGCTGATTCAGTTTGTGGGGTTTCAGGGGCAGGCATAGGATCCCGCATACTCATGTCCACTCCAGTTTTACACTATGTGTCTCCCTCATCTTCCAATTTGCTTTTCTTTTGAGTTGATGGCCCCAAAAAAACTGAGAAGTGTTCTTTCTTTTTGCTTCACTTCACTGCAATCAAATATTTTGTTTCAGTGACATCACTACATGAAACTATCGTATCTATTGATCTAGCAAGAACCATAGCCAATGAAAATCAATTTTACATCCGTAACCATGTTTATGTGTTAATGAATTAGACATTCTTGTGGCACGAGAGGAAAGTTGGTAGGGGTATGGACAAAATTTGAAGGCTCCTCAAGACCAATCTAGGGGAAATTCAACATGTCATCTTTAGTTTTTTGTTGCAATGGTGGAAGGGTATGTCCTCAGCAGAATGTTGATTGAATAGATTGGTTAAGGCCACATCTGGTGTATTGTATTCAGTCTTTAGCTCCTTACCTCAGAAAGGACATTAAATTATTGGAAAGAGTTCAGAGGAGATCTATTAGGATGATACCTGAGATGGAATAGAAGAGGATGGGTTAAGATCTCTGAAGAGTTAGAGGGAGATCTGATTGAAGTGTTTGAGATTGATAAGGGAATTGATAATGTTGATGTGTCTTTGATTTTCATATTTAATGTTGAGAATGGTAAGACAAACGTAATTTTGGCAAAAAAAATCATCTTTGGCTCTGATGCCTTGAGCTTCTTTTGCATCAGAAGAGCAGCTATATGTAGAATTGACAATTCTGTGGCAAAATGTGTTGAGAAATAATTAAGTTTAATAGTATTAGATGATATTTACTTTGATTTCTCCATACATGAGTTTTTTCTTGTGATCATACCTGAAATAAGTAGGTGTGTTGGATCTAAGTAGTAAATAGCTTGTTTTTGCTTGCATTTTTTTCTCTTGTGAAGTCAAATCCGTAAAATGATTTTGAGAATAGAATTGTATGTTTCTTTTTGTAAGTAAACTTATTACTGTAACTTCCTGGTGTAAATATATATATTTTTTTCTAAGATTGCATTTGGGACAAGAAAGATGCCACTACTCCAACATCTTATTAAACCTGTCTATATTAGTCGTGGAACCCTTAATTTGGAAGATAAGGGTCTACCAACTGTTGCTTTACATGTAGAGAATGAACTTGAATGGGTTACGAATGGAACTCTGTCGAACATTATTTGCCAACTATCATCTTTGTCCAAGCATGCAGATAATATGTTTAGTACCCTCCTTAGAGAAGCATCTCTGCTTGTGGAACGATCAAATGAGTTACAAGCACGAATAGACAAATTGGCTGTGAAGGTGACACAATTAGACTCTAGTGTGGAGGAAGGTAGGTTCATGAAAGTTTACAAGTTAAAATAGAGTTGATATACATATGAAGTACAGTATATATTTTAAAATTTGTTTTTGAAATGTTTAAAACTACTAGACAAAGCATCAAACAGGAATTAAGGAATACCTACTATGTACACAATTATTTACACCATTATAATGTCAACGGAGGATAAAAAAATGAAGTTAGCATCTGTCACATTATAGTATTAGACTTGAACAAGTTCAAAGAAGGTTATGTTTGCAGGCTTAGTTTTCCATTTTTGTTCCATTTTTTTAATTCACCTAAACTTCAGTTTTTATAAGTGTAGCTGATATTTAGACACAGATATTTATGAAAAATATTTTTTTCACTTTGTCCTGAATAGCCATAAAGTTTCTTTGGAAGTTATTCACATTATACTTAATGTACATGTAAAATATGCACCAAAACCATTAATCCCTATTTATTAAACATCTTGCCTCCTGAGAGCTTTTAATTAAATGGTTAATAAAGTTTTTTTTTTCAAATATTAATCTTTTTTCTTTTTCATTCCAATTACAAAAGGAAAAACTTTGAAATAAAAAGGTTAATTCAATTTATTAAAGAAATTAGTATTACAGAAATAATTTTTTTTTAATTACTGGTAAGGGAGAATTTTCTGGATTTCTTACATGATATGTATGTAGTTACTCCTCAGTCTCAAATTATTTATTTCTTCAACATACAATTCACCACAAATAGAACATTTTAAAATATGAATTGCATTTTTAGCATTACATTCAAAATAATTTTCCATCGTAAATAATTCTTGCCCACTTTGGTTCAAAAATTGAACTTCCTAGTTCAAACATATATATATATACACACACACACATATGTAGATAATTTGAGACTTAAAGTGTTGATGCACAGTGAGTAGATTTCATTACATGAAGCTAATACAGTGAAACCCTGATTTTACGCACCCCAGTTTAATGCAACTTCGGATATAACGCGATGGGTCATTAACTCTTTCGACATGGGCTTGGTCACTGGGACTGACCTCATAATCATAACCTTATTATAGTTTACATACTAATAATTTTTAATATTTTAAGTGTATCTTTACAAAACCCCAATTTAGCGTGACCCCGCTTGTTTTGCGATGAAATTTTATGGACCTCAGTGATAACGGGGCTGCACTGTAATTTGAATTTAAAAGGTTCTGTTTGTTAAGAATTACAATTAACTAAAGATATTTGATATTATTTAATAAATGTGTTATACATGCATGTTGAAATGTAGTGTAAATAAGGTAGAAAATATTCAATTATGTTTAAGGATATTTTGACAGATATTCAAAACTATTTAGAACACTTTAAATAGGTTTTTTGTTTTTTATTATAGTCTCACTCCAGAATATCCACTTGAGAAAGGCATTTAAGAGTAGTGTAATATATGATCAAGAAGTTGTGGCACGTGATACCATCCCTGTGGCTATGAGTGAAACACATGAGGAATGTGCTAAACCACCCCCTTTGGATAAATTAAATCCATATAGGTAAGTCACTTTGTTCTCATAGTGAGAATATAGATATTAACCCCACGTCCACAGGTGGGAGTCAAAGTGTGCATGTCACATATTTTACGAAGTTACATTCAAAAGTTAATTAAACAACTTTATTTTTGATACATTTCAGTAGACTTGACATAAACTCTTAGTGTATAATTCAGATTTGAATATTATATAATTTTAATTTCTTAATTTAAAAATGAAATATTTATATAAATTCTCAATCTTCACATCTATGTGTTACGTGATGCCTCTCTGCTCTGAATTCCTTCCCTTTTGGAGGTTTTTTTTCTTTTTTTATATTAGTGTCAGAATGTTCATCAGTTAATAACACCAACTACAGATATTAACAAGCCAGAATTTAAAATAAGAACCTCTGACTTTATTTTCTGAGATATCAATAAATTGGTTACATGCACCATAGAAAATCTTTCCAGCTCTTTATGCTTCTGAAATTATTTATATACTCATGCTAACTTGTCAGCAGTACATGCTTATAACCAACAGAAAGTTGGAAAGCCAGGTCAATAACGGTAGTTTTGAGGTAGTTTGTTTTACTCTTTAAATTATTCTTGTGCTTACAAATGCATATTTGAAAGCTATGTGAATTATTTTTTGGACAATTAATGTAGTGCAAGAAAAAATCTTATTGAAGCATGTTCTTGAGTCCAAGTAGGTCTATAACCAGTGGTAAATGTTAAAGTTTTTGTTTTTATGTATATTTATTTAGTTATTGATATATGTTGTTGTAAGCTATTTTTAAATATTGTAATTTGTTAGCTAAAGGGTGTATGACACCTAGAAAGTTTCTATACAGGGTCCATTGGACTGATCCCATGCATCTAGAGAGATTTGTGTTATTACATTGAACATCAGTGTGTGTAGATACATTCACAAGAATATTCTTACTTGATGTATTTTAACAATGAAAAAAATAATAAAACTTATTAGTGATTTGTACAAGTTATAAAAATCCTGGAAAGTAATGGAATTTTGTAAACAACGTTTTAAGTACTGGAAATCCTGGAAAATTGGTGGTTTTTATTAAAAGGCCTTAAATCTAACTCCAACACTCCTACAACACCATTTTTGTTGATGAAAATCCATACTATTGAGTTTATCTCAATTTTGCAGAAATGTTCTTCACAAAATGTGACTCATGAAATTAAATGATCTGACTTGAAACACTGGTCAATAACAGGCTCTGAACTATACATCTTTCCAAGCAAACATGTGTCAGTTGATTATTGTTGAAATCATGTGTCAGTGTAATATAAGCTCAAACACATTTGGAGTAAATTTGAAATCATAAAATTGTTGACAGGATAAAAACATGTACATTTGAGAATTTTCCTAATTCCATCTTCAGCATAAACACTTAAAGTAGTTAAGTTTCTAGCCTAATTTCTTCATCAGTTACTGCCTGAAATTTGCTAATAAAGAGGGAAAAGAGAGAGAGAGAAAGATAAGTTCAAGTAGCAAAAATATAATAGAATGAGTGTCAAAAACCTATCCAATGTGCATGAAATAGCAAAATACATGTCATCAATTTATAAGGTCATCTGATATTTTTACAATGATCAATATTGGCCAGTATGTATGAAAAAAGAGGAAAAATTTAATAATTTTTTTTCTTTGTACATGTTATTGGTAGAACATTTCGTATAGGTGTTGCTGCTTTTTTTGTGTGAAATATAATTAGTTACTTAATTTTGTTGGAGTTCATGCTTTATTAAAATCAGTAAATTGTCCTTGAAAATGATTGTTTGGTCTTGTAAAGTCTTGGAATTATTTTCTATAAGCCTGTGCAAACTGTGCATAGAAGACAATGTCCTTTTATTAGTATAATTCCTTGGTCACAGTTGTACAATTTCTTACTTTTTGATCCTTGTTTAGCATTTTCCTAGAGTTAAGCAGTTTTCTTAGATGGATTCAATATATTTATGTCTTCACAGAGATACTTACTGTTTTTCTGTTGTTTCTTTTCAATCGACCGCCATTCTTTCATTTCTCAGCAGATTGACTTCAAACTTGGTACGATTATACCTTAGTCCAAAATATGCACAAACATGTTTTTTATATTTTTTGATTTAGGTTTTTTTAAGAGTTCTATGGGGTCAAAAGTCAAATAACTCCAAAATGTATATTTTGGGCTTCTGTGTGGTCATATTTATAGCAATCAAGGTGAAAATTGAAACAAATATAAATTTTAATGCACCCAACACATTGACATAGAACAAAGTAGGATTTTTTCAATTTTGAGTGTTTTTTTTTTAGATGGGTCAGAACTCACAAAAAAACATAATTTTGGGACTCTGTCATATTTTGACCAGTTTACATGGGATTTGGTACAAAGATACTTTTTTATAGGTCTCAGACATTGTCAAACAAAAATGGTGGACTTGTCCATTTTTAGTATAAATATAGGGGAGTCAAGATGCCACAAAAAACATAATTTTAGGGTTTTTTGACAATTAATTTGTTGTATTTTAGCCAATTTAAATGGGATTTGGTACATAGATACCTTTTTGCAGATCCCATATATATATATATATATATTTACACATACAAAATTTGGAATATGCTCATTTTTGGTCATTTTAGTGTGGTTAAAAGGTTAAATAAACCCATAATTTTTAAGTATTTTGGTCATATACTTAGCCTTGTTTTGACCAATTTATCTTGAATTTGGTACAAGTATACTCTTTGCGGGTTCCAAACAGAGATATAACCAATTTTGGAATTTATACTTTTGTTCAATTTTCCCGTGAGGAAAGTACAATTTGTGGTTCTTGTGAACTATTCATGCATATGTCAACCAACTTACATAAGATTTCGTACAAAGTTACCTTCTTGCAGTCCCAAGCAGTATTGTAGACAGTTTTTGATTTTTCTATTTTTCACAGTTTTCTGGTGTCAAAACTGGCCATGTCGGGATTGTGTGGCAGAGACATGTTGCATTCACCAGTGAATATTGGCCTTTTTAATTATTTAAATGCAATGGAATAAAAGTGATATATTTTATTTATTCCTAAAAGCTAAGCTTAACTTTAACATTTTATATTCAAGTAAAGTTGCAAATAATTCTTCCTCATTGATTATTTATTACTGTAAATCACCACAAGATTCTCAGCTCTGAAATCTACTTTTTGCTTTCTAGTTAATTCTTTAATTTGATTGGGCAATAAGAAAAAATGTAATAACAGCAATTAAACTCCTCAATTCAACTAAATGTGGTTCTCAAAGATACAATAAAAAGTAATGTGCTTTATAGGTGATCATTTTTAATTTAAGCTAATGTTTCTGTTTGTGATAACTGACTATTTCATCATTATTTGAACTATTTCAGTTGCAGGATGCTTATAACTAAAAAGCAGACTGTGCCATCAGAAAAAGATCATTAAAAGACGTATTTTTTTAATATCTATATATATATAAAGGTTTTGCCCTAGGAGATTTAGTGGTAAATATCAAGACATTATTGTTTCTTTTAGTCTTAAGAATTGTTTTTCTGATTTTTTTGTAAAACCAGATAGGTTTAAATGTTAGAACTTTTCAACAGTTTTAACTAGGAACAAGAAGCAAGATTTCCTTAACTCTGTCACAATCAATGATAATCTTTCAGGTGTTGAGTACATACCTTGCATATCAGATTTCAAAAGTTTAAAAATAAATAATAATTTTAATTTTTTTTTATAATCATCAAATGTAACTTGCAAAAACATGTAAAAAATGCTAAATGTTTCATTTTTGCTCAGCTCTGATGATTCTCACTGTAAACATTGTCAATTTTTTTTTCAGAATATTTCGTCCCATCACAAAGCATCATAGGATTATATTTTCTAAGAAACACTAACATCCCTTAAGAATATAATTATCCATGTTTTTTTTTCTTGCAAAATTTTTCTTCTGTTTGTGGTTTTATTATTACAGTCGTATTCCCACTCCTTTTGCTCCCACGTGGCACAGTGGTATATCTGCGCACCTCCAACACTAGAAACAGTTTTGATACCCATGTTTGGCAGAGCACAGATAGCCAATGTGTGGCTTTGTGTTTAACTACAAACAAACAAACCCACTCTTATTATGATGTGACAGCACATGGTCTGAACAGTTACTAATGAAACAGTTTTCAGTATAGTTAAGGTGATGTTGAAATACTATTGAATAAAGAAGATTATAAATTATTTATGTTGAGTGAATATAATGGTGTGAGCAGTGATTTATGGTTTCATGGGAAAGATATTAGATTAGCAGATGGGGCTTCTGATGGTATGAACAGCACAATTTAATTGGAAATTTAGAAGGCTTAGGAACCAACAACAGATTAGAGATTTTTTAATAGTTTATTTATACATTATTTTCATTTCTAAAAATAATTATTTTTGTTTAAATTATATCTCTTTGAAAGCTACAGAAATCTTTTCTCTGACAAGACATCGGGTAAGCTAAGTTTAGTAAGTATAGTAGGTGATGGAAATATGTCCGATAACTTAAATCCTTATTTATTGTTAAGTTTATCATATTTAAACAATGCACATAAATAAAAGAACTCATTATTTGTTGAAAGATATAATATAAATTAATCTTGAATATTGTTACTTTTCTGATAAAGGAAATTTGTGACATAATTGTGAAAGGTCAGGCCATAGGTTACCAATAAACCTCTATCAGTTTTTGCATTGCTTTTTCTCAATTTATTGCTCAGAAGTGGTGATTACTACAACTGGCTAAATATCAAAACAATTTTTTTAATAAATATTAGTCAAGTTGACTGGATGTGTAAAATGAAACTCATTGATCCACAATGAAAAATAAATATAATTTAAGAAAAATTATTTTATAATTTTTCCAAAACATTGTCTCACAAAAATATTTGAAAATTTTACAATGTAAAAAGAGAGAAAAAATAGTTTTTAAAGCCTAATCTAGATACTATATAGTAAGTTGGTACTAAGTTTCATATAATTTGTGTAAGTCTATCTTCTGTGAGAGGAAAAAACAACAAGGGATATCAGTAACACTCTCTTTGGTCTTGAAGGAGTTAAAACTACTCAGACTATATTTTCCTTTGATCAACAGATATTTAACAAACAAAAAAAAAGTTGAGAAATATCCTTTTAACAAAAATAATGTAGCTGTAAACAAACAAATTATCATGTGTTACATAAAAATATGTATATAGTTCATCACTGGTAGTTATTTTTATGTAAACAAAGAAACAATGGTACAGTATATTTAAATTTAAGCATAGTGTATAGAATTCAGGAAAAAAATATGAAGATATTTTATTTTTAGAACTTCAAATATGGATGATTGATAAAAGTTGTGAGTTATCATTAACATTTATGCTTTTACCTATCATAATTTTTATTGGTAAATCAAAACAACATTGTATAAAGCTGTATGCTTGAATACAGTATCAAACATCTGTTGTACATTGTATGTGTTGTATAGTTGAATAGTTGTGTTAAAATAGTTCAAAGTTATGAATCAGTACAATTTTGAAAAATTTAGTAAAAAGCTTCTTTTTATTTTTACTGTGAAATCACTTTTTCTTTAAAGGGAGGATGGAAAAGATGGTCTGAAGTTCTATACTGACCCAAATTATTTTTTTGACCTCTGGCGACAAGAAATGTTGAAGGACACAGAAAGGATAATGCTTGATAAAGGCAAAAAAGTAAGTGTATTGTTATTTCTTTTTGTCATTTTATAGTTTTCACACAAAAAAAAATTCTTAAAGTATTATTTGGGTCAGTATTTAAACATGTACTAATATGAGTATATTGTATGTCAAATAACCTTATTTCTGTCTTATATAAAGGAAAACATTAACCATCCACAACTGGAGTAGTTTTTCAGACATCTTAAGTTGCCAATGAACCAGTTAGGATGTATTTGCTCAACTTTTGTGTATGAGTGATGCCTATATTATAAACTTTGTAGAATAGTGTATCTGTAAAATATTAGAGCACCCTTCAGTACTTCGTCATCAAATGTATCTGTAAACTGCTAGAAAACCCTGCATTATATGATCTTTAAAATTATTTGTGAATCCTGCAGTATATAATTATTAGCTGTGTTTGTAAACTATTAGTAAACCCTACAGTATATAATTATCAGCTGTGTCTGTAAACTATTAGTAAACTTTACAGTATATAATTATCAGGTGATTTGTATTTAAAATTTCAAAAGGCATCACGTATTTATGTCTTCTTCTCTGTTACATATGGTAAAATAGTACATTGTAAAATTGATTAGTCTAGGAATATCTAAAGATTACTAATAATTTTTTCTGTTACATTTTTAGATTTAGTAAGTCTATATTTTGTGTGTTTTATGTTGTTGTCAACAACGTCTGTAATGAGAGCTTATGTGGCTGATCTGATTTACAATATACAAAGGCTTAGCTGAATGCTATTATGTAAACACTCCTTGCTGGAAACATATATTAAGCTAGTAAAGAATAATATGATTAAAAAAAATGATCTGGTTTACTGTGATGTAATGTCTTACATTGCTACTTAATGCTATGCCCTGTTAACCATTGAAAGTGCTCTATACCCTAAGTCAACAATCTTTGACAAGCTATATGCACATAACAACAAATTCACACATTCTCAATCCCTGTAATTGTATTCAGTGAAAAGTCCAAAGTTTAATCTGTACATACTTAGGCCTGTATTGCATTAAAATTGTATTTATAAATAAAAGTGCAACCTATGTATACCTTGTGTATATACATACGTTACAGTCATTTATGAACAGTTTGAGCATACAGTGTGAGATGAGACACCACTCTTGTATGTGGTCTTCACTTGAGCATTTGCTACATTTCATGTATTTTTGTGACAAGCAGAATAATTAGGGCTATGATGGCTTTCTATTTTTTTTTCAAATGTTTGTTAAGTTGTGTTTTTCTGGATGACAAGTCACACATTACAATGTGTTTTTACCTTAAGGGTAAAAAAAGCAGAAATGCCAAAAAAACTCAGAATATCTTACACACATTGATACATCAGTTGCATAATACATTTGTTAACAAAATGTTGATATGGATAGAAACATGTGGTGATGTAAATTTGATGGATGGTAAGCAATATTTTATATAAATTATAAAACAACAGGATGCATGAAGAGTACTTAAAGAAAAAAGGTTAACTGGTGAGTAAAATGTATTTTGCTGTTTTTATATTACTTACAAAGTTTTATCTTAATCTTTTTAGGTTTTAACTTTAACTAATTAAACATTTTTTGAACAATAGCAATTCATTTCAAGTTTAAATTTTAAAACTTTTTTTGGGAGAGGTCCTTGGTCCCCACCAGTGGGAGGAGCCCATTTCCACTCCCTCCCTCTCTCCTATGCAAGTCAAATTTAAACCTAGCTACAACTCTGGTAATCATGTCCAAAATCATTGATATAAAGAAAATAAGGCTTATTTAGAACTTTTTAGTAATAGATTTAACATCTAGTGATAGAAATCCTTAACCCAGTTTTCATCAATTTTGCAGTAATTCTGGAGGATTTAATTTCTCACATTGACTTTTGTTTTTGATACATATCACTGTTCTGGCTGGTTTTGAAGATCATTTGAAGTTGGCAATGCTATATATATTATGTTCACAATTCTATAGAAAAATAAAATTAGTTGGGTATTTTTATTTAGGACTGACAAAAATAATAACAGTATAAACCTCTGCTGCTATTGCTTCAGTTTGTTTTTAAGGACATTCATGACAATGAAATTAATCATCTCTTTAAAGATGAATTTGTACTCCCTCAAAACTGTAATAAACATAGTTTGTAATTATCTATGAGTTTATCACTTAAAATTTAGGGTATATTCATTAATTCGGTCATTATATATTAAGCCTAACAGAATTGGTCTTTGCTGAGAGAAAATGTCAGCAATTGGAAACTATATAATTTCAGTATATAAAATGAATAATATAGGGTTGTGTAACTTCTAATATTAATATTATATTCCTTCAAGCTTTTAGCTTCTAGGCTTTGATGCTTAGTGGAAGTTACAGTTAACAATTAATATGTAGATCATAAACGAAAATGGAGAACTTTGGAACACAAGAAATAATTTTCTAAAGCTGTTTATTCACTTGAGTACATCATCACATCTATGGATTAATGTGGTTTTGTTGTATGTAATTACACTTATTCCTGTAACTAAAGCTACTGGTAGCTATGTTCAGGTAGTGTACTCATGAGCATCATGTGTAGTGCTGTGTGATAACTCAATTAATTGATACAGTTTGATTATTTGTGATTATCAGTTACACCAATTAGTATCACGTAAAATAATTGATTAATCAAAATTCAAATGATTAATGTCCCAAAATAATCAACTAATCAAAATCAGTGTTTTCAGTTACTCCAACTAGCTAAGTTGGAGTAACTGAAAACACTAATTTTGATTAGTTGATTATTTTGACATTATGATTTCTTATTATTATTCTCAGTTAATTTGGAGTTGTTCAGCTAAATCACTTAATATCACAACTCACAAAATTAGTGTTTCAGATTATTACTATTTCTGGTTATTCCAACTATCCAAGTCTTGTGAGAATAATCGATTAGTTGAAAGTAATTCATTAATGAGCCCAATAATTAATCATATATCAAATTCCATTAATCACCCAGCTGTGTCCAACAGTAAATAATTATTACTTTAACACAAATTCTGAACCTGAAGTTTATCTAAAATAAATGTTCCACTGAGTTTTTAAGAAAGTTATTTTGCCCCTGCATTAGGAAGTCAGTGAAGTGCCCACATGTATGATCTCTCATAGCTTAGATCCTTACATAATCTCCTACCTTTAAAATAAGCTTAAATTCAATAAGGAGTTTTAATTGACACATTGATGAAGCATTTGTTATATAATTATTCTTTGACTCGTACTTGTTTTACATCAGACCAAAGTAACACAATATTGAATAAGAGTATTTGGATAGAGTTTATCAGAGATGGCTCTCTGTTTCATGGTAGTTTTAGAAACAAATTTCTAATATTTCTCACCAGCTGTTAAAACCCTCAGAACTGAGGTATTTCTTGTTTCATGGATATCATCTCAAGTATGAAATGCTAGTTCCTACCAGTTTGTTATTCTCTAGCCTAAAAAAACAGACAGATGGGAAGATTACTTCTGTTCTGGCAACTCCTTTAAGTGAGTTGGCTCCAAACATACTGACTCTGTCTTTCCTTTGAAATAAACCAGCAAAGCTGTGTAGGGGCCACTGACACATGGGCAATATAATGTCTCCATATCAACTGTCCAGGCTGTTGCAAATAATAAATGAAGAGGACATTCCATTCATTCTTCTTAGCATGGACACAACACAGAAGGTAACAGTTATGGGTTATAAGTTTGTACCTATTTGGCATAGAGGTGAGTGCTATGGGCTACTTTCTATGGTGGAAGGAATCCTTGCATTCCATTGATCAATTACTGCTTGACTTTAGCTAGGAAGTCCCCAGCCAGTAAGATGCTGATCCATCATGGTCTACCATTTGGTATGTGGGGCTAGACCAAAATGCTTGAGCCTGGAATACTTATCTATTCATGTTTCTTTTTTTAAAATTGGGAACAGAATGTTCCCTGTTGTTGATTCTGAATTCTGTGTGATATGTTTTAATATTTTTCAGTGACATGAGTTTAGCATTTACTGAATTGAAAAATACAGAAAACTTATCAGAAGTTTCATTTTATTGTTTTTAATTATTCAGACTTAATATTTCATGCATGACCAATATGCTTGTTTTTACAGAAAGAGAAACATCTGTATTTCGTGGATGTCATAGAAATTAAAGAAATAATACAATATATAAGCAATATTTTTTTAAAGATTTTATTGAAATACGGTGCCTACAAGTACTGTTCAAATATAACTGTATCACAAAAAGTTCAACTGTGGCTCAAAGAAATCCACTGTAAAACTTGATAGATTTAAACATAACAAATTTTATTTTATCTTTAATAATTATAAGTCAGTGGTTTGAACCTTGCTCTGTTCTTGTAAAACTTGATCTTTAAAAAAAAAGAAGTAAATATGCTAGAAGTTAATTTCTGGCTTGGTTAATTTTACTGTTAGATTTGACAAAACATGTTGAAAAACACTAAAGTACTGTGCTCTAAAACCATAAAAAAAAAGTAAATCATGATCACTTCTGAATAACATATGAGACTTAGTATTTACATGTAGTTCATTTACACGTAAGTGTAATAAATTCAAAAAACAAATTTGTTGCTATAGTTATTTGTTCAAAAGAAGCTTTTGAAGTCTAATGACACTAACAGTGTGTCTTGTAATGTTCTTAGCAAGCACATGGAAAGGATGGAATTGAGGTAAGTAGAAACAGTACTTGTGTTAATATTGTGCATCTATGACTATAGAAAATTTCAACTTCATTTTCAAGACTATAGAAACAACAAGTCTAAATATTTTAAGCTCATATATGTTTTTTAACATCTGTTTTGTTTTAGAAATTAGGAAGCAGTATATCCTGTTTCAATCTGACATAATTTATATCTTGTCATGTACATGTATTGTAATATGCAGCATGGTTTACCATTTATTACAGCCACACAGACCACGCCCTGACGGAAAACGGCATAAGAAAGTTCGCCAGCCTCACAACACCAGGGAGAAGTATCGACAAATGGCAACAGCTCATGAGTTTATAGATAAAACTGCAAACCATTCTCAGATTGATTATGGTGATTTTGTTATTAGCCAGACAAGCATATCACAAGATGGCTCAAATCATGGGTACCCAGTGCGACCAAGTAGCTTGGAAATCCATCCTTATGTTTCCGGACAAGAACAGGGTATTGAAAGTCCTACCCATCTTTACCCCCCACCACCACCAGCATATACTGAGCATCCTCAATTACCACAACAACAATATGCTCCTCCACCTCCTTACAGTGTTACATATCCAGAATATGAACCCTCAACCAATAATACATCTACAAGACAAGTCAGCCGTATTAGTACCATGAGACCTTCTCAGCCACCACCAGCACCACCTGTGTGTGGCTCTCTAAGTTCAAGTGGGATTTCTACACCATCTGTTTCTGAAGGCAGTACACCATCTAGTGGTGCTGGCAGGCATAGAGTGTCAAGTCAGTCCAGGGAAAATCTACCCCCTCCTCCTCCTCCTCCACCAGAGGGTGTTCTGAACAATGGTGAATCAGTAGAATCTGTGGTTCAAAATGTTTTACAAGACCAAGAAATTGGAGCTCTTAATATTCAGACGCCTGCATGTAACAATCTCCAGCCTTTAGGATCACCCCAAAGTGCACTCACTCACCATCCACAATTAGTGAATCACATAAATTCTCAAACACTTGAGCATGCATCTATTCCTGAATGTCAAACAGAAAGTCTTGACCTTCCACCTCCTCCACCAACCCCAACACTTCACACAGTTGAGAATCAGATAACAGCATTACCTCCTCCACCATCACCGCCAGTCATAAATGGAGGAGAGACCCTACCACCACCTCCTCCCCCTCTTCCCACTGTCAATGATCTCTCTCTAACAAATGGAGAGGTTTTGTCTATAGCAAACAGAGTGCCAGAAGTAGTATCATTGTCATCTGAGTCTACTAGCACAACCTCTAGCAATAGTAAAGCTGGTGAAGGTCAACAAGTGAAAGCTAAACTAGCTCCTAAAGCACAGTCAGATGGTAGAAGTGATCTATTAGCTGCCATCAGAGAAGGTAGAAAATGTTTTTTTAATCTGTCAGTTTAACTCAGAGAATGTTGTTGAACAGTTATCAAAATACTCAAATATCCAATATGATTGTTTTTTATGTAAACTATCACAAATGTTTTAAAAAATGTTTGCGATAAACAGATTTAGCATTACATGTTGCTGGTATAGTGTACAGAAAGCTAGTTGTCACAGGAAATTCAAATCATCACTGAACACAAGTATATGACAAGCCACTTGAAAAATCATCAAGTTTGGGTTTAAGGCTTTGACTAAAATCTTGGAGTACAATCATCATATATAGCAAAAACCTCAGTGCATTTTTCATTACAGACATGTTAGAAAGTTAAACTAAGGATAAGAAGAGAGCATTCATTCAGTTCTCTGTTTTAGATGTTAGTATATCACCATTATTATCAGTTATTTGCGTACAGACTTCAGTATGTAAATACAAAAATTCATGTTTAAGTAAGTGTTTTAAAGAATATATTACAGTAGCTTTTATTTTCAGGAAGTCTTAGAAAACACCAGTGTTAATGTTTCCAAGGAAAGACTCACAATTAGACTAATTGAATTAATTATATTATGTATATGTAATATTCAAAAACACCGTAAAACCTCATCAAGAGACACTGCACAATTTCGATGTCTTCTAGTGTTTTATTACTATAGTGAATTGAAATACAGGTTTTGCCAGCAAAATAGAATAATGTACATGTTGTACTGGGAACAGTAATACAAAATGAGATGGTAGACTCACTCTACGGGATTTTTTTCCAATTGGTTTAAACAAAAGTATGGATAATGTTTTTCAGATATCTTAATTGCAACAATTGAGGATTTACAGTAACAGGCATATTATAATACTTTGTGCTATTTACTTCAATAAGTTTCTCATACAATTTTCAACAGAATTTTGGGAGCTTTTATTTCTAGACTGCAAACATTTGGATATCCTTAACAGGAGAGACTATTCTTTTTTAATTTAAACCATTTCAATTTGAAGTGGATGTTTTTACAATTCATTTAAAAAGTACTCTAAAAGTGAAGTTCATATAGTAAGTAAACGATTTTGTTATAGGTGTTCTATACGTATTGTTCGTAAAGTAATAGTTGATCCTGAGATGAATGGTATAAAGGTAACTCATACATTATGTTATATCTTTCTGCAAAATTAGTTTTGAGTTCTAGTAAAATTAGAGAAAGAATAAACACAGAGTTTTACAGGCTAGTCACCATGTAGCCTAAAAAAAGTAAGTAAGCTTACCTGCTATATAAAAGCTGTTGAAATATTAATGTTTTTAATTACTAAAACCTGGCTTCATTCAAATATAGACAGTGCACCCTTTGTATTACTTTGTATGAGTTGAAGCAGTACTACTCTGAATCTCTCAAAGTTTAAATACAATGAACCATACAGAATTAATATTTTAAACTGTATTTTAATCTTCACTTTGTACTATTTATATCACTCAAAAGACTATTGTATTATCTCACTTAATATATTTATATATATTTTAAGTCTGAAAATTGATCATCTTTCTCAGAGAGTAATACTAAGAGTTAATTCCTTTTTTGTTTTTTAAGAATAACCTTTAGATTCCATGCAACCATTGGAACTTTTTTCTTTGTAACTAATTATGGTTATTTTGATGGCAATCCTGTAGATTCCACTGCAAGAAGTTTCTGTATCATATATCTTGATCAGTTTTCTACAAACTTTCCACTATATGTGTATATTGGTTTCAAAGAATATGATAAAGCAGACCAAAGAGACAAAATCTACTTGAGCTGATTGGGGGAGGGAAAGGGCTTGACAAATATGTAATTAAGTGGGAGTGCTTGTAAGCCTTCAATTATTTTAAATCCTCATTTATTAGTTTATTATCTTCTAAATAATATCAATAGGATAGCTTCATCACAATGACTTAATTCTAAGATGGAGTATTCTCTTTTTATAATTTAGCCTTTGCTTTGTAGATCATTTTAAGGTATTGTTTTAATCCCATTTTTGTTTACTAAATGCTTTGCTACGTGAGGCTTGCATTTCCATAGAGATTATTGAAAGCTTCATTTCTTGGCAAGGGTTGTGACGTAATTCTACAAACATAAGTCTAATATATATATTGTTGTATTGCACTGTCAAAGCTCAAGAATTTGCAGTAAATGAAACATATAGGTGCTAAACATGTTGGTTATTGTATCACAGTACACATGAGCTTTGGTGCCATTTCTTTAGCATACAATTCATTTTTATAAAGTGCAATTAACTTCTCACTCTGTATATGTATAAAAACATCTATATAAATGCATAAAAGACATTAAATGTCATGTCAAATATATACAAGCAATTAAAAGTTATATGCATTATGGTTAAAATTTTGAGTATGTTAATATGACTATTATTATAACTTGCTAACAAGTGTAATAGCTTGTATTGGTTTATGAAGTGGCATTACAGATTGTTATGAATGTAGAGAATAAAAAAATATTTTTGAATGATAATATTAAAAGATAATGTCTTGTTTTGGTGAATAACTATATGTTGATTATTTGTTGTTAGTGTTTATGATTTTGCTAACAAATGTAGAATCAATTATGTCAGGGAGTTAAATTATTAAGACTGATAAATGTGTTCTTACCTTTTATCTATGATATATCTTATTTTAGGAAGTGATTTGTCCATATCATAAGCCATCATCCAGTCAGAATCTTTCCACAACCTAACCATAATGTATATAAACTTTGTAGATCCTTGACATGTAATTAAATGTTTTTGCATAGTGCAAGTAATATTGCTATAATTCAGTCTGACATCTGGACTGTTAGATAATTTTTTTTGGGGGGGTGTATAGAATTTTGAACATTTTTACTTTATGTTGTTGAGTTTTTGTTCTCTTATCTTTCCTGAGATGGAAAAGTTGTTTTCATTTTTGAGATTTTTAGTTATTAATTTTTTTTTTGCTTTTTTCTTAATTTTGTTAATGTTGTCCCAGAAAATATTCTTCCTTGGGTCTATGAATATTTCAGAATTGAAGATCTAAAAAATTAAATCTTTATACTTAACACAGTTTAACCTAGTGTGATGTTGAGGATTTTGTAATCTCAAGTATAATGAGGGTTCTTCATATGTGAATTTCTCATATTAAACTTAGTGCTTTTCTCAACCTATATTGAATATATCTTGTAATATTCATCATTTATTTCAACACTGAAGAACCTTTTGACAGAGAATTGTGACTAACATTCCATTAGCATCTTTACATGTACCTGGACTGAGAATATTCTATTCAGTTTGCAAGCTTGTCAGCCAGATGCTAGCTTGGTATATACTCTGATTTACACGTTCAGTAAGAACCAACTGTGTTAGTGGAAGGATTTGCATGAGTTGCATCTTGCATGGAAAGGGTTCCTTTGTGAGGTCATTAAAATTTCCACATCAAGAGGATGCAAGTGAATTGCTCTCTGATGTTGAAGCTAGGTGAATCTACAGTCAATGGTTTGAAGGGATGCTTCACAAAGAATTTGAAACCCTCAGTAGCTGAGGTAAATACCTTTTCCATTCTTCCCTAGATGTCTCTTTCACTCTGCAATTGAACTGAGATGTTGTATCAGATCCAGTAAAGGTATGGAAGAAAGGGAGTGCACTGGACTTTTCTTCGCAAAGTTCAAGGCAGATGGAGTTAATATAGTAGTACCTGAAATTCTTTCTTTTTCCAAAAGCTATGCAGAGCTGTACAGCAGGATGCTACTTTGTCAGGTCAAAAAATATACCCACCAGGATTACAACAACACATACGTTCACTGTGCTGACCATAATAGTCTTTGCCCCTTTTGCACAGCATTGGCATCATGAAAACACATTCTAGTATCAGCCTTGATGTGATTGGTTGCTAGCATTTGCTTGCTGTTGCATTTTGATACAATTGATTGTCCTGAGGTGATATAGACTTCTTTTCCTCCTGGATAATCACAGGCAGTTACATCTTCTGTCAACAGTGGTAATAGCTCTTCTTTGTTGCTTGGGTCCTGCAGAAATGCAACAAAGTTTATGGGTATTTTTTTCTCAGGAGAAACATTTCTCCTTAGCCCTTTCCTTCTCTTCTCACTTGTGGCCTCTTTTAAGTTGTCTTCCTTGTGTATGTCCCATATGACATCTATTGGTTTACAGCCCTGTAGTTGATGATTGGTCCAAGGTATGAAGTTTCTAGCACTACTCACCAAATGTTGAAGCATCACCCCTGAAAAGCACATGTAGTACAGTAGGACCATTAAATGCTTCTACACCAAAATGCACTGGGGCTTCTTGATGGAAGAGATCTAATAACTTTGATTTGTAGCTTGGCAGGTGAAGTTTTCTGTGCTGACTCTGAGATGGTGGCCAAGGATGATTTTCATGCAAGAAGAACTTGTCTAAATCCCCATCACAAAACTTGATATGAATAGCTGGATGAAGAGACTGCAGTCGTTCTTGATATGTTCCATCTGCTGCTTCATCTCAAATTTGTCTTTTGTTTTGGGATGCTTTGAAGATGTGGAAGTTATTCCTCTGGATTGGCTCATTTATTTACACAGTCCTTTCCACAATAATGTCCTTTAGACACTTAGTATTCTTTGTGGTAACTGCTGCTTCCATGCTGAAAAATGTGCTTATCATATTCTTGTCAACTCAGTCATAGGTATTGAGGGCCATAAGTTCATGTGTTTCTTCAGCAAAAGGGTTGCCCATCCATTCAGTTGTGGTACAGAGTTTATTGACTTATGATTGCTGAGTTGAAAGCCCTTGTTCATGTCTTCTAAAATCAATGGAGTTATCTGTAGAATACTGTCTTTTAAACTCTGCCAGTAGCCTTGTCTGCTGTGGACCTGACATAATCCATCATTTCAATGCTGCTGGGTTCTCATCAGTCATACTGCTCCACCAGAATCCTTTACCTTTGCATTGTTCTGTTCATGTAATTGGTCCAGTGGTATAGCAAAAACTTCTTTTGTATCTTAGGGAAGGCCAAGAGAAGCTGAAGCACACATCTAATGCCATCAGGAATAGTCTTGATGTCCCAAACATACATAACAGGAGTTGTGTTGCACTCCTATTGGTGGAGAGCTGCTGCATGATCATTTGCATGTGGATATGCAGAAGCAGGAGGTGTAAGGCTAGTGGCGAGCATTGAAAATTTGTGCCGATAGAGGGCAGTACTAATCGATTAAAGCCATTTTGTGAGAGGGTAGTGTGAACATTCAGGTGAACATAAATAGGATGTGAAAGTTCATGGTTCTTTGTGTGGTGCAACTTACAGGCTATTTGAGTATGTTGCTTGGAATTAAAGAATATCAAGTGGCAGATTGTAAGGCAGGCCTAGAAGATGCAATACTCCGATCTTTGATGTTGCTGCTGTAGAGAAGTGTAGATACTAAAGAAATCCTGAACAAACATCTTTCTCACTGTTTTTACTACACCATCCATGGAGAGAACTTCTTCATCAGTCACTTGATACCACTGCCAACTTTAAAGTTTGTTGAAGCCCTTTGTTAAACTCAAGGAGAGTATTCTAACCATCAGAATGCTCCTGACAGTTGGTGGGAAAGTGTGCAAGAAGCTGATTCTTAAGCCTTGATTTGTTGAATGTCTTTCTGAAACCAAGAACAGGAATTTGCTGTTCATACAATTTATAGATCTTGGAGAATTTGAAAATGTAAGATCCCTCTTCAGTCTCATCCTTGATATAAGAAATCAGCTTAGCAAACAAAAAAGCAGGTAGCTTGTTTCTTTTTCCATCTTTGTCTCCATCATTTGGGCTGTAATATAGATAGATAACCCTCAATCTTGGATCAGAGTAATATGGGTAGCTTGTTTCTTTTTCTATCTTTGTATCCATCTTTTGGGCTGTAATATAGATAGATAACCCTCAATCTTGGATCTGAGTAATATGGGTAGCTTGTTTCTTTTTTCCATCTTTGTCTCCATCCTTTGGCCTGTAATATAGATAGAGAACCCTCAATCTTGGATCTGAGTAATATGGGTAGCTTGTTTCTTTTTTCCATCTTTGTCTCCTGAGCAGGTTCCTTCTTACTGCGTAGCGCTCATTTTTGTGTGCGTATTTACCTGTTACACATATTTTTTGAAGAAAACTGGAAATTATGTGACAAATTGTCTACTTGTTTTTGAAAAGGTATCAGATTTACAGTTTTAGCCTTGTGTTAACAATTTCTCTATCACGTCTGGATAAACAGTGTATGTGTGATGGTTACTCCATATTATTGAATATAATACAGCTGTGCTTTTTGGCCTGTGCCTTGTCTCTCTGTATGTGCTAGATGAAGATGTTTGAATTTTGCAAGTTCTAATCACTTGTCATTTCTACATGCCTTGTGATTATAGTGCTTTTGACCATGTTGTCTATGAATTTCTTCCTTTGGAGTGAAAAGGGATCCACATCTGCCCACAGAATATAATAGGATATGCTGTTCATTGCCTGCTTAGCATGAACAACTGCTTTGTATTTGTTGGGCGTTCTGGAATTTTATCTTTTTGCACTAAACGTCTCTTCATGGCCTTTGACCAAGCAGATTGGTTTAAGCGATTTCGTTTCACTAGTGGAAATGCTGTCCTGTGTCTAGTATATTTCTATAAATATATTGGACAAAGTATTTCTAGTTAGTTGAGTTATTCTTCCTTCAGTGTGTTATGAATGAAAGACATGGTTCCTACTGTTGCTGTTTGAAGCTCTCCCACGTGTTTTCTGTTCTTACTTCGATCATTGGATTCTTGATCCTCTTGAATGTAGGACTCTTTTAGCACCCATGATGCGAGTCAGTGTATGGAATAAACTGTGTTATAAATAACTCTTCACTTCTCGTATCTTTTCTCTGAAATGTGGGATTCTTATAGCATATGTGATGTGAATAGGTCTGTGCA